TAAGACCCGTATATGACCCGTACATCCACAATAAGACCCGTATATGACCCGTACATCCACAATAAGACCGTATATGACCCGTACATCCACAATAAGACCGTATATGACCCGTACATCCATAATAAGACCGTATATGATCCGTACATCCATAATAAGACCCGTATATGACCCGTACATCCATAATAAGACCCGTATATGACCCGTACATCCATAATAAGACCCGTATATGACCCGTACATCCATAATAAGACCGTATATGACCCGTACATCCATAATAAGACCGTATATGATCCGTACATCCATAATAAGACCGTATATGACCCGTACATCCATAATAAGACCGTATATGACCCGTACATCCATAATAAGACCATATATGACCCGTACATCCATAATAAGACCGTATATGACCCGTACATCCATAATAAGACCGTATATGACCCGTACATCCATAATAAGACCCGTATATGACCCGTACATCCATAATAAGACCCGTATATGACCCATACATCCATAATAAGACCCGTATATGACCCGTACATCCATAATAAGACCCGTATATGACCCGTACATCCATAATAAGACCGTATATGACCCGTACATCCACAATAAGACCGTATATGACCCGTACATCCATAATAAGACCATATATGATCCGTACATCCATAATAAGACCCGTATATGACCCGTACATCCATAATAAGACCCGTATATGACCCGTACATCCATAATAAGACCCGTATATGACCCGTACATCCATAATAAGACCCGTATATGACCCGTACATCCATAATAAGACCGTATATGACCCGTACATCCATAATAAGACCCGTATATGATCCGTACATCCATAATAAGACCATATATGACCCGTACATCCATAATAAGACCGTATATGACCCGTACATCCATAATAAGACCCGTATATGACCCGTACATCCATAATAAGACCCGTATATGACCCGTACATCCATAATAAGACCGTATATGACCCGTACATCCATAATAAGACCCGTATATGATCCGTACATCCATAATAAGACCGTATATGACCCGTACATCCATAATAAGACCCGTATATGACCCGTACATCCATAATAAGACCGTATATGATCCGTACATCCATAATAAGACCCGTATATGATCCGTACATCCATAATAAGACCTGTATATGATCCGTACATCCATAATAAGACCCGTATATGACCCGTACATCCATAATAAGACCGTATATGACCCGTACATCCATAATAAGACCCGTATATGACCCGTACATCCACAAATAAGACCCGTATATGACCCGTACATCCATAATAAGACCCGTATATGACCCGTACATCCATAATAAGACCGTATATGACCCGTACATCCATAATAAGACCCGTATATGATCCGTACATCCATAATAAGACCCGTATATGATCCGTACATCCATAATAAGACCCGTATATGATCCGTACATCCATAATAAGACCCGTATATGATCCGTACATCCATAATAAGACCCGTATATGATCCGTACATCCACAATAAGACCCGTATATGACCCGTACATCCATAATAAGACCGTATATGATCCGTACATCCATAATAAGACCGTATATGACCCGTACATCCATAATAAGACCCGTATATGACCCGTATAATAAGATATATGACCCGTACATAATTAGAATGTATATGACCCGTAATATTACAGTGATGTCACCGACCTGCCAGTATACCACAGTGATGTCACCGACCTGCCAGTATATACCACAGTGATGTCACCGACCTGCCAGTATACCACAGTGATGTCACTACAGAGCACTGAGATTATTATCAATATATATTTATTATTAGACGTTTCCAAAAATGTATTATATATAATGTTCAATCTGATAATATCCATAAAAATGATACATTTACCTAATGATTCCCCACCCAAATACACAAACCTGACAATTCAAGGGGGGCTCCAGGATCTATTGTCCCCTCTCCCACAGTCACATCAGTCTCTGTACCAGAGGAGCTTACACTCTAATGTCCCCTCCCCCGCAGTCACATCGGTCTCTGTACAGAGGAGCTTACACTCTAATGTCCCCTCCCCCGCAGTCACATCGGTCTCTGTACAGAGGAGCTTACACTCTAACGTCCCCTCCCCCGCAGTCCCATCGGTCTCTGTACAGAGGAGCTTACACTCTAACGTCCCCTCCCCCCGCAGTCCCATCGGTCTCTGTACAGAGGAGCTTACACTCTAACGTCCCCTCCCCCGCAGTCCCATCGGTCTCTGTACCAGAGGAGCTTACGCTCTAATGTCCCCTCCCCCGCAGTCCCATCGGTCTCTGTACCAGAGGAGCTTGCACTCTAACGTCCCCTCCCCCGCAGTCCCATCGGTCTCTGTACCAGAGGAGCTTACACTCTAACGTCCCCTCCCCCGCAGTCCCATCGGTCTCTGTACCAGAGGAGCTTGCACTCTAACGTCCCCTCCCCCGCAGTCCCATCGGTCTCTGTACCAGAGGAGCTTACACTCTAACGTCCCCTCCCCCGCAGTCCCATCGGTCTCTGTACCAGAGGAGCTTACACTCTAACGTCCCCTCCCCCGCAGTCACATCGGTCTCTGTACCAGAGGAGCTTACACTCTAACGTCCCCTCCCCCGCAGTCACATCGGTCTCTGTACCAGAGGAGCTTACACTCTAACGTCCCCTCCCCCGCAGTCACATCGGTCTCTGCACCAGAGGAGCTTACACTCTAACGTCCCCTCCCCCGCAGTCCCATCAGTCTCTGTACAGAGGAGCTTACACTCTAACGTCCCCTCCCCCACAGTCCCATCGGTCTCTGTACCAGAGGAGCTGACACTCTGTTCCTCTGTTCCTATTATGGGACATGTTGGAGAGCCCTGGTCCTCAGAGCTTACAATCTAATGCTGTGCACACATGGCGGTGATGGCAGACACATGTTCCGTGTTACACAGATCAGCGGTGGATGAGGGACGCGGCGGAGCGTGTTGCACACATGTAGAATATCACTCATAAAGTGGCACACGTGATCCCAGCACAGCTGCACGGACCTGGAGACCACACATGAGGGGTCACATGTTCTGGGAGACCCCGCATACAAGATGGGGGTCATTATCTCTGGTGGGTTAACCTCTTCCCTGCCAGGCCCTGAGGAAGGAATGACTTTTCCTGATGTGCCGCACATTCCATCCTCCGCCATCCACCAGCAGAACCGCTTCCCCATAAATCTCCCCTCCCATCCGTGAGAAACCATTCATTGTCACATGATGGGGAGAACCATTAACCCGTCATTGGCCCGGCACCGCATCGGCACGACCTCACCATTGTGATTGGTTAACCCTCTGCACCCCCCCCCCCCTCCCCCCATGTCACCTCCAACAATAAACTTCTATTCAGGTCGGAGAAATAATCCACTAAAATCAATTTGTAACGTTTCTTCAATAATTGAAAAAAAAAAAAAACAAAAGACCTGTTGATCCCGCCAGAAATCTTGTCAGTTCATAACTTCCTGTGTTGCATTCCACCAATGGTGTTGTTTGCAGATCTCTCAGAGGACTACAGGGAAGAGGAGAGGGGGAGGTGTTCTGTAGTCCTGTCCTAGGGTGACAACACTGCTCCTCCATAGAGACAGGAGAGTGACCCTAGTCATTGTCACCCTAAGACAGGCAATGTGTTACTGGCAGGATCACCGGATACAGAAAAGGAATGCAGGCGTCAGATCCGAGGCCTGGGGTGCTGCGATGGGACATTTTGTTCTGGAAATTACAAACACTTTAAAGGTTGTTTCCAACGAGAAAGATTTCCGGGTGTAAAGATCAAACCGAATCATTGCCCATGTCTCCAGAAATGCCAGTTGTAAAATGTCTCTGCCCCTCCCACAAGGGGAGATTCCTCCCAGTAGTTTGTGTCTCTGCCCCTCCCACAAGGGGGGATTCCCCCCAGTAGTTTGTGTCTCTGCCCCTCCCACAAGGGGGGGATTTCCCCCAGTAGTTCGTGTCTCTGCCCCTCCCACAATGGGGGGATTCCCCCCAGTAGTCCGTGTCTCTGCCCCTCCCACAATGCGGAGATTCCTCCCAATAGTTGGTGTCTCTGCCCCTCCCACAATGGGGAGATTTCCCCCAGTAGTTTGTGTCTCTGCCCCTCCCACAATGGGGAGATTCCCCCCAGCAGTTTGTGTCTCTGTCCCTCCCACAAGGGGAGATTCCCCCCAGTAGTTCGTGTCTCTGCCCCTCCCACAATGGGGGGATTCCCCCCAGTAGTTTGTGTCTCTGCCCCTCCCACAATGGGGAGATTCCCCCCAGTAGTTCTTGTCTCTGCCCCTCCCACAATGGGGAGATTCCCCCCAGCAGTTTGTGTATCTGCCCCTCCCACAAGGGGGAGATCCCCCCCCCAGCAGTTTGTGTCTCTGCCCCTCCCACAATGGGGAGATTTCCCCCAGTAGTTTGTGTCTCTGCCCCTCACACAGTGGGGAGATTCCCCCCAGCAGTTTGTGTCTCTGCCCCTCCCACAATGGGGGAATTCCCCCCAGTAGTTCGTTTCTCTGCCCCTCCCACAATGGGGAGATTCCCCCCAGTAGTTCTTGTCTCTGCCCCTCCCACAAGGGGGAGATTTCCCCCAGTAGTTTGTGTCTCTGCCCCTCCCACAATGGGGGGATTCCCCCCAGTAGTCCGTGTCTCTGCCCCTCCCACAATGCGGAGATTCCTCCCAATAGTTCTTGTCTCTGCCCCTCCCACAATGGGGAGATTCCCCCCAGTAGTTCGTGTCTCTGCCCCTCCCACATTGGGGGAATTCCCCCCAGTAGTTCGTTTCTCTGCCCCTCCCACAATGGGGAGATTCCCCCCAGTAGTTCGTGTCTCTGCCCCTCCCACAATGGGGGAATTCCCCCCAGTAGTTCGTTTCTCTGCCCCTCCCACAATGGGGATATTCCCCCCAGCAGTTTGTGTCTCTGTCCCTCCCACAATGGGGAGATTCCCCCCAGTAGTTCGTGTCTCTGCCCCTCCCACAATGGGGGGATTCCCCCCAGTAGTTCGTGTCTCTGCCCCTCCCACAATGGGGAGATTCCCCCCAGTAGTTCTTGTCTCTGCCCCTCCCACAAGGGGGAGATTCCCCCCAGCAGTTTGTGTATCTGCCCCTCCCACAAGGGGGAGATCCCCCCCCCCCAGCAGTTTGTGTCTCTGCCCCTCCCACAATGGGGAGATTTCCCCCAGTAGTTTGTGTCTCTGCCCCTCCCACAATGGGGAGATTTCCCCCAGTAGTTTGTGTCTCTGCCCCTCCCACAGTGGGGAGATTCCCCCCAGTAGTTCGTGTCTCTGCCCCTCCCACAATGGGGGAATTCCCCCCAGTAGTTCGTTTCTCTGCCCCTCCCACAATGGGGAGATTCCCCCCAGTAGTTCTTGTCTCTGCCCCTCCCACAATGGGGAGATTCCCCCCAGTAGTTCTTGTCTCTGCCCCTCCCACAAGGGGGAGATTCCCCCCAGCAGTTTGTGTCTCTGCCCCTCCCACAATGGGGAGATTCCCCCCAGTAGTAGGTTTTTAGTGAATGAGCCCGTCCTGTATTTCCCTCCATGGTGGAGAATGATTGTCCTCAGACAGCCTCGTATTTCACGCCCTCCCTCGGTCCTCTCTGACCTCAGCTCCTCCTCCTTCTCCCCTGGAATGAGAACATCTCTATAAATGATGGAAGCAATGTGTGATGTCATCAGGAGGAATCTATGACACCATAAGAGTGGGAGGAGCCCAGGCCGCCATTTTCTGGTGTCATAATGAGTCGCTGTCGGTTGCGTTCGCTCTGCGTTGTCAGATGTTCGTCTCTCTGTGTTGTGAGATTTGAGTTCCCCATAAAAATGATGAAGAATGTGAAGTGCGACTCCGACACCAATCAACGATGGAAATAAACGAGGAGATTGGATTCGTTATACTGAGGAGGAGATTTTCTGTGACGTTGTGCCTCTGCTATCCCCTGAGGAATCCACCCGCTGAGGTGCGTTCCATATGGGGTCCCGACCTGTGTCCAGGCACTGCTTCTATCAGGCACTCCTCATAGCTGGAGATCTGCAGCGTGAGATCACCTCGGGCACTGCACCCTCTGACTGCCGCTCTCACCAGATTTGGTGATGTAACTCCTGTGCTGCTCACTATTCTCCCTGCCGGAGGGGAAGCTGCACCTGAGGACCTGCAGTGCCAGGATCTCCCTGCTTCCTCCACCTCTCTCATTACCCCGACTGGCAGCTCTTATATGAGAAAGCAAAGCTCTGCCTCTACCAAGATGGCCACCTCCGCACAGAGACAGTACAGAACAAGGTGGCTGCAGGGGGCCACAGACAATCCTGGTGATCAGTCCTCTGCCCCCCGCTTCCCCCATACAGGTCCTCTTCAATGTCTACGGGAGAGGAGTTCACTTATTTCCTGGGTCTCTGTTTGTGGTGGGCAGACGGGTCAGAGCCTCTGTCAACTCTCCACACAACTGCCCCCAACTACCCCTCCACATAACTTCCCCCTCCCCCAACTGTCCCCTCCACATAACTGCCCCTCCCCCAACTGTCCCCTCCACATAACTGCCAACCTCCCCCCAACTGCCCCCTCCACATAACTTCCCCCTTCCCCAACTGTCCCCTCCACATAACTGCCCCTCCCCCAACTGTCCCCTCCACATAACTGCCAACCTCCCCCCAACTGCCCCTCCACATAACTTCCCCCTTCCCCAACTGCTCCTCCACATAACTGCCCCCTCCCCCAACTGCCCCTCCACATAACTGCCCCCTCCCCACAACTACCCCTCCACATAACTTCCCCCTCCCCCAACTGTCCCCTCCACATAACTGCCAACCTCCCCCCCAACTGCCCCCTCCACATAACTTCCCCCTCCCCCAACTGTCCCCTCCACATAACTGCCAACCTAACCCCAAATGCCCCCTCCACATAACTGCCCCCTTCCCCAACTGCTCCTCCACATAACTGCCCCCTCCCCCAACTGTCCCCTCCACATAACTGCCAACCTCCCCCCAACTGCCCCCTCCACATAACTGCCCCCTTCCCCAACTGCTCCTCCACATAACTGCCCCCTCCCCCAACTACCCCTCCACATAACTTCCCCCTCTCCCAACTGTCCCCTCCACATAACTGCCAACCTCCCCCCAACTGCCCCCTCCACATAACTTCCCACTCCTCAAACTGCCCCTCCACATAACTTCCCCCCCTCCCCCAACTGCCCCTCCACATAACTGCCCCTCCCCCAACTGCCCCTCCACCTACAGTGCAGGAAATGTGTATTTGCTCCCCCCTGATGGTGAATGTTCGCCCCTCACACAGAAACGATCGGTCTAACAATGGAATGTTCGCCCCTCACACAGAAACGATCGGTCTAACAATGGAATGTTTGCCCCTCACACAGAAAATGATCGGTCTAACAATGGAATGTTCGCCCCTCACACAGAAATGATCGGTCTAACAATGGAATGTTCGCCCCTCACGCAGAAATGATCGGTCTAACAATGGAATGTTCGCCCCTCACACAGAAATGATCGGTCTAACAATGGAATGTTCGCCCCTCACACAGAAATGATCGGTCTAACAATGGAATGTTCGCCCCTCACACAGAAATGATCGGTCTAACAATGGAATGTTCGCCCCTCACACAGAAATGATCGGTCTAACAATGGAATGTTCCCCCTCACACAGAAATGATCGGTCTAACAATGGAATGTTCGGTGTAACACTGAGAGACAGAATACAACAACAAATTCAGCAGAAATGCGTCTAACAAATGATGACGGATCTGCATGTTCATGAGGGAAAGAAGGATTTGATCCCCTATCATTCAGCAGGATTTCTGGCTCCCAGGTGTCTCTCATACAGGTAACAAGCTGAGATTAGAAGCAGTCTCTTAAAGGGAGTGCTGCTAATCTCACTGTGTTACCTGTATAAAAGACACCTGTCCACAGGAGCAATCAAACCATCAGATTCCAAACTCTCCACCATGGCAAAGACCAAAGAGCTGTCCAAGGATGTCAGGGACAAGATGGTAGACCTACACAAGGCTGGACTGGGCTACCAAACTATGGCCAAGCAGCTTGGTGAGAAGGTGACAACAGTTGGTGCAATCATTCACAAATGGAAGAAACACAAAACAAGTGTCAGTCTCCCTAGGTCTGGTGCACCATGCAAGGTCTCACCTCAGGAGGGATTTTGGCCCACTCCTCTTGGCAGATCCTCTCCAAGTCATTAAGGTTTGGTGGCTGACGTTTGGCAACTCGAACTTTCAGCTCCTCCACAGATTTTCCATCGGATGAAGGTGTGGAGACTGGCTAGGCCACTCCAGGACCTTCATGTGCTTCTTCTTGAGCCGCTCCTTTGTTGCCTTGGCCGTGTGTTTTGGGTCATTGTCATGCTGGAACACCCATCCACGACCCATTTTCAATTCCCTGGCTGAGGGAAGAAGGTTCTCACCCAAGATTTGATGGTACATTGCCCCGTCCATCGTCCCTTTGATGCGGTGCAGTTGTCCTGTCCCCTTAGCAGAACCCCCCCCCCAAAGCAGAATGTTTCCACCACCATGTTTCACAGTTGGGATGGTGTTCTTGGGGTCATAGGCAGCATTCCTCCTCCTCCAAACACGGTGAGTTGAGTTGATGCCAAAGAGCTGGATTTTGGTCTCCTCTGACCACAACACTTCCCACCAGTCCTCCTCTGCATCATTCAGATGTTCAGTTGCAGACTTCAGACGGGCCTGGACATGGGCTTTCTTGAGCAGAGGGACCGTGCGGGCACTGCAGGATTTCAGTCCTTGTCGGCGTAGTGTGTTACCAATTGTTTTCTTGGTGACTGTGGTCCCAGCTGCCTGGAGATCATTGACAAGATCCTCACGTGTAGTTCTGGGATGATTCCTCACTGTTCTCATGATCATTGACACCCCACGAGGTGAGATCTTGCATGGTGCACCAGACCTAGGGAGACTGACACTTGTTTTGTGTTTCTTCCATTTGTGAATGATTGCACCAACTGTTGTCACCTTCTCACCAAGCTGCTTGGCCATAGTTTGGTAGCCCAGTCCAGCCTTGTGTAGGTCTACCATCTTGTCCCTGACCTCCTTGGACAGCTCTTTGGTCTTTGCCATGGTGGAGAGTTTGGAATCTGATGGTTTGATGGCTCCTGTGGACAGGTGTCTTTTATACAGGTAACACAATGAGATTAGCAGCACTCCCTTTAAGAGACTGCTTCTAATCTCAGCTTGTTACCTGTATGAGAGACACCTGGGAGCCATAAATCCTGCTGAATGATAGGGGATCCAATCCTTCTTTCCCTCATGAACATGCAGATCCGTCATCATTTGTTAGACGCATTTCTGCTGAATTTGTTGTTGTATTCTGTCTCTCAGTGTTACACCGAACATTCCATTGTTAGACCGATCGTTTCTGTGTGAGGGGGAACATTCCATTGTTAGACCGATCATTTCTGTGTGAGGGGGAACATTCCATTGTTAGACCGATCATTTCTGTGTGAGGGGCGAACATTCCATTGTTAGACCGATCGTTTCTGTGTGAGGGGCGAACATTCCATTGTTAGACCGATCGTTTCTGTGTGGGGGGCGAACATTCCATTGTTAGACCGATCGTTTCTGTGTGAGGGGCGAACATTCCATTGTTAGACCGATCGTTTCTGTGTGAGGGGCGAACATTCCATTGTTAGACCGATCATTTCTGTGTGAGGGGCCAACATTCCATTGTTAGACCGATCGTTTCTGTGTGAGGGGCGAACATTCCATTGTTAGAACGATCATTTCTGTGTGAGGGGCGAACATTCCATTGTTAGACCGATCGTTTCTGTGTGAGGGGCGAACATTCCATTGTTAGACCGATCATTTCTGTGTGAGGGGCGAACATTCCATTGTTAGACCGATCGTTTCTGTGTGAGGGGCCAACATTCCGATGTTAGACCGATCTTTTCTGTGTGAGGGGCCAACATTCCATTGCTAGACCGATCATTTCTGTGTGAGGGGCCAACATTCCATTGTTAGACCGATCGTTTCTGTGTGAGGGGCGAACATTCCATTGTTAGACCGATCATTTCTGTGTGAGGGGCGAACATTCCATTGTTAGACCGATCGTTTTCTGTGTGAGGGGCCAACATTCCGATGTTAGACCGATCTTTTCTGTGTGAGGGGCCAACATTCCATTGCTAGACCGATCATTTCTGTGTGAGGGGCCAACATTCCATTGTTAGACCGATCGTTTCTGTGTGAGGGGCGAACATTCACCATCAGCAGGGGGGCAAATACACATTTCCTGCACTGTGTCTGAACATTCCAGGTATAACATCCGACCCCCCCATGAACACTCAAAGGGTCACCCCCATGTATTCTCAGAGGGTATTGCGCCCCTCCCCATGTACTGCGCCCCTCCCTGCGTATTGTGCCCCTCCCTGTGTATTGCACCCCTCCCCGTGTACTGCGCCCCTCCCTGTGTATTGCGTCCCTCCCCGTGTATTGCGCCCCTCCCTATGTATTGCGCCCTTCCCAGTGTATTGCGCCCCTCCCTGTGTATTGCGCCCCTCCCTGTGTATTGCGCCCCTCCCTGTGTATTGCGCCCCTCCCTGTGTATTGCACCCCTCCCTGTGTATTGCGCCCTTCCCAGTGTATTGCGTCC